GCGTGGAGGCCGATACCGGAGGAAGCAAGTGGAAGGTGGATCCTTATCTCGACCGAATTTTACGACCGTTTTAAAGGATCGTTAATTTCGGACCGTTTATCGCCCGACCGCCGCGCGCCTTTCTCTCTTTCTCCCTGTTCGATCATCGCTGCGATTGTCCATCGACAATGCAACGCCCCTCCTCGATCTCGATCCGTTAATAGAACGACGATAATTATCGAGATCGGCCAATCGAGTCTATCTTTCTTTCTCTCTCGATGCGATGCAATGTCTCTCAACAGCCATTAATTGAACATTGACGATTGTTGAAATCGGTGAATCTATTTCCATCTTTCCACTTCGACCATTAATTGAACATTGACGAGTCTATTTCCTTATCGTTTCTCCTCGCAACGCGATGCAACGTTATTAATTGATTGAGATCGATCAATCGAGTCTATTTTCCGTCTTTTCTCCTCGATCGTCGCTGGGATGCGATACCTTCAACAGCTTCTCCTTAATCTTGATCCCTCGATCAAGAACGTTTGACAATTACGAGAATGATCATTACGTACTTTTCTCGATGATTTTAGACTTTTAGAAGAACGGTCGAGAAGGTATCGAAGAAGAGGCGCGCAGCCGGGCGTGAAGAAGCGCGGTCAGGTTGTTGAATTTTTTAAAGCCTCGAGAGCGAATTAACATGGATACGCCATGTATCGCGTTAACAGGCTGGCTAGACAAGTGTACCCACGTGTCGGTTTATTAAATATACATGAGAGTCTCGCCGCCCGTGGTGTGGAAGACCAAGTGAAAAGTTAAAAGCGTTAAAACTGTTTTCATCAACTTGCAATTAACCCTCCCGTGAATATCCCCCCCCCCTCCCCTCCCCCCTTCCTTACTACCTTCTCGAAAGATTAAAAAAAAATCTCGATCGAATTTAAGAAAAGAGAAAGAATCTTCTTTCTCGAAATAAAACTCTAACCTAATAACCCAACTTTTCTCAAGATTCGTTTCCAAGAGAAGCGGTGGTCGTTTCAGGGACGAGAAAGAAACGTTTAAACGAAAAAAAAATTAGAAATCGGTCGTGAAAGGATTGCTTCACTCATCGGACCGGATGAAAATCCTTAGAAGCAGCCACGCTTCCGGCAATATCGCGTCTTTCGTCCCGAACGCTCGAAACGCTTCCACGCCACGTTTCCAATTCTTTCCCATTCCACCAATTCTTTAATCGTACAATTTAACAAAAAAATAAACTCTCCTGAAATCGACGCATTGCGATCGATCAATTACAAGAAATTGCACCGAGGTGACTCGAGAGATAAGAAAACAAGTAGAACTCTCGTAATTTTTCCTTTCCTCGATCCATCATCATGGAAAAATCATCGTTGTCAAAAGTCATCGTTCGCCTACGGCCTTGCTCTAAACTCAAAGCCGGCGTTTCATTCACCCCTCGTGACCAATTCTCATGTTCCTTTAATGAGGCGACGAGCGCGCGTTTCCAGGCCGCCGCTGCGAGGAGGAGGGGGGTGTTGCACATCCGCAAAAGGGCAGCCGTAGGTGCAAACCCTAAAGGGTTAAGGAAAAGCTAAGCGTCTCTCTCTCTCTCTCTCCTTTCTTGCCGCCGGTGGCCGTGGTTTAAATCGTGTCACGGTTTGATAGTCTCATTACAGGCTCCGTTAACCTGTTTTTTCTTCCTTTCTTCCTTCTTTTTTTCCCCCCCAACACCGTTCGCCTTTCTCGTGTTCGTGTACAACCGAACGCGTACGAATGTGGGGGGAGAGCGAGGGAGGGAGGGAGGGAGAAGGTGGAAAAAGTGGAAGAAGGAAAAAAAGGAGGGGTGGGGTGGAGGGGGAGACGTTGATATAACGTTTCGTTATTCTTTCCTACGGCGTGTAATAATCGTCGCTTAATGGTACACGTCACGCAGCGTAGTTGTTAGCGCGAATAGCTGAGCACTTAACGACGGGAGCATTTCCTAGCCGCGATTCGGCCTCGTAATTTGTTCGATAAAGGAGGGATGGGGGGGGGGGCCCTTCGAGTTTGTTCGAAGCTCGAACAATTTTTTTTTCGCGCGCGATTATTTTTTTTTTTTTTTTGCCTTTCACCGTTATTTAAACGTTTTACATATTGGATATATAATATAACCACGTTACGTTTGATCGAGGAAAACGAACGATTAAAGGGGGAAATTCTGTTGGAAGATAATTTTCCTTACGGATAGAATTGGTGGAAGAATTTCATCTATTAAATACGTACGATCGTAACGTATCGATTAATTTGATCGATTTTATATATATATTCAACTCTCCTATCCTAGTCTCGAGCACACGATGGAGCACGCGTAATCGCGTTGTCGCACAGCACGCCATATGGGGGAGGGTGAGTCTCGTTCACGTATAAATACGCATCCGCCTATCGGCTTCCACCGCCCCTAATTAAATGATGCCACCCTAATTTCTATAATTCTTCCATTTCGATTCGCCGCGGTGTGTCTAATCCGATTTCGTGCGACGATACGAGCGAGCGAGCGCCGTTATAATTATTCCTCCACGCTTGCGCTGGATTGTTTCCGAGCGTGAACCGTATTTTCACGTCTATTCGAAACGCTCGAATAGATTCCAGAAAGAGCATCCACACACGCGCGGCTCGTAAATTGAAGCGAACAGAGTTGGCAGCAGACAACCGCGAGACCCCGAGGCGAGAGAGGGAGAGGGGAAGAAGGAGAGAGGAGCTTTGAAACACACCTTCGAACCAGATGGTCGTTAGATCCGATTCACTGATCGAACCGCCGATGGTGAAATTTTTGGGAAAGTTGTTTTCCTTCCTTCCTTCCTTCCTTTTTTCCTCTCCATCTCGCACTTTTGCTGGAACGTTTCGCCTGCTGGATCTTTTCAAAATTCATCATAATCGAAATCTTCGACACAGATGAAGAACAATTGATTAATCGAAATTCGAATTCGAGTCAAGGATAAGAAAAACTGCCGATCTAAATAATAATTCTTAATCGTGTTAAATCTACCCTACGTTATTATCTTTGCACCACGAATCGATCGATCGATCGATCGAATGCCCGACAACAACAATAATCGTTTCGAAAGCGATCCAGAATCGGCGTAAGCCCCTCCCTCTCCAATCGTTGAAATCGGCCTTAAAACGTCCAACTTGGGGAGGGAAAGGAGGAGAACGAGGAAAAAACGTTCGAACTTGAGAAATCGTCTGTCTCGAACGAGTAGTGGTGGTGGTGGTAGTAGTAGTAGAATCATCCCGACCGATACAACGACCACCACCACCCTTCGATGCCTCTTCAACCCCCTTCCAGGTGGTCACGTCTCTCCTCTCCGGCTCCCTCGATCTCGAACGAGGAGGAGAGAGAGAGAGAGAGATCTCCTCGTGGAAGCGCGCCTCGTCGTTTCAATCTCTCTCTCTCTCCTCTCCCTCCCCTCCCCTTCGATTCGACCCCCCTCGGCCTCCCTCCCCTCCCCTCGTTCCAAGCGCAGCTCGCCTCGGCTCCTCCCCGCCCCGCGCTATAATGAAAGATATTAACTACAATTTTATATCGAATTACCGGTGAAACACATTTCAAATTAGTTGGGCGTAGCCGCGCCACGTAGCGGAGGCGCCGAGGCCCCCGCGGCCCCGATTGGCCGCCTCGTTAGCGCCGCTCCCCCCGATTGGCCGGGCAGTGGCCGCGGTGGGGAGCGCAGGGGGCGTGCCGGAGTGGCGATATGGCCGCCCAACGGAGGCGAGCAACGGAGGCGGCTCGCGTCCGTTTCAGTGCGAGCAGATCAGTCGAGGCGACCCGATGCACCACGCCTGCCTCTCGACCCGGCCTTCGAACACGACGCCGCTGCTTTTCTCCGACGAGAGACTCTCGATCGATCGTTTCGTCTCGAGCCGCGCGGCTTCGACTCCTCTCGGGTGGTCTCCGATTTTTCCAACACGCACGCCCGCGAGTTCGCGTCTCTTTTCTTTCGAAAGAGAGGGGGAGAGAGAATTGACAATTGAAGAAAGATCGTACAGTGGATCCATTGTTGGAAAGATTGGAGGAGGGAGGGAAGGATGTCCACCCTTCGATTGGGCCCAAGTTAGCGAAGATAACGACGATCCAAGTATCGAAGTGTGACCAACGGAAGAGGACAACAGTTGCACGAGTTCGGTGAGAGAGAGAAGAGAGATATATCGGTACATATATAACCGGTTCGGTGTGGCTGGCTGTCCGTTAATCGCGGTGCGACACCAGTGATTAACCTCGGTCGGATGATCGAGTGTGCGTCTCGTCCAAGATCCCGCCGTCGTCTTCGGAATCCCGTCCTCTTCGCGAAAATTTCCATCAAGAGGAAGAAGGGGATCGCCTTCGGAACCCGGGTATATATATCTACAACAGGCCCCGATTTACAACGATTAGTGGAGGAGAAGAGTGGTTGACGTAGCAGACGTACTCCTCCTCCGACGGTTGTGCTGTGTTGTACGCGTGTACGTAACGGATCGTTATTGCGCACTGTCACGTGAAAAAGGACACGAAAGGAGAGGAGAGGCGGGAGTTTCCTCCTTGCGAAAGGAGCAATAATAATTGATAATTAAACGAGGAGGAGAGAGAGAGGAGGGGCGAGAGGAGGGGGGGGGAGGGGAAAGCAGAGCGGAAATGGCCGACGAACTGGCTGTTACGCGCGGCAATTATGTTAAGTGGCCAATTAGCAATTAACCAAGGAGGCGAGCGAAGCGCCCCTTAATTACCGGAGAACAGGAGGACGACGAGGACGAGGACGAGGACGACGACGAAGAAGAAGAAGAAGAAGAAGAAGAAGAAGAGGAAGAGGAAGGTGGAGGAGGCGCGTCGATCTTCGAAACATCGCGTCGAAATCCACTCCTTTCGAGAGATAGGCGAGTTCTTTTCTTCCCGCGTCGAGGTGTTATAAATCGTTTAGCGAGCGAGGAATGTCGGTGGTGAAGGACGGACACTGGAGGAAACGCGAAGAAAAGTGTGGTTGGAAGGAGGAGGAGGTGGAGGAGGAGGTGGAGGAGGAGAAGTAAAGTGAAGTGAAGCACAGGTGGAAGAGGTCGAATCGAATCGAAGTTTCGGACAGTTTTGCTCGAGCGAGGCTACGCCCGTCGGCAAGATTCTGTCTCCCAGGTATCGGGCGAGTCCTGGGGTGGCGACAGAGGCACCCGCGGGTGCCCGTAGCCCGAAGGAACCACCTACGTGCATGACCGTGATGACCGTCCACCACCACCAGAACCACCACGTGGCGGCACGTAGCGGCGTCACCGTGGCGAGCGGCAACAACGGCCTCAACCTGACCAGGATGTCCGGCCTCGAGGCCCACAGGCTGGAGAACATGGTGGAGAGGAACGGGGTGAGCGTGGAACGGCTGTCGAACGGGCTCGACGCCAGGAACAACAATCACAACAACGGGCTGGAGCGAGGGGACCACCACCACCACCACCACCACGCGTCCTCGACCACCATGCCCCAGAGGTCTAGATTCATGATCACCGACATCCTCGGCGGCGCGTCCAGCAAGATGCACCACCAGGCCACCCTCCAGAACCCCCAAGAGCCACCGGCCAGCCCCCCGTCCACGCCCAGGGACCTCAGCGTCAGGCACCAGTCCAGGACATCGTTGAACAACAGCAACCTCGACGAGGACAGCGACGCCAGCCACCACGATGCCGCTTCCGTCACTTCCAACGGTAAGCGGTTACAATCCTTCGCTTCTTCGAATCGAGTCGAGGAACTCGTCGTCGATTAATTAATCGTCTCGTTGGTTAATTGACCGATCGCTGCTATTACCGCTATTGCTGTTAGAGGTAGAAGGGACACGTAGGGAGATGCTAGGAGGGGGGATGGGAGGGGAGGGAGAGAGAGAGAGAGAGAAGAGGTCGAAGGAGGAATTGAAATTAATTTCGCCACTCGATGGTTGCTCGTTCATCCACGCACGCACGCACGCACGCTCGCGTGGTGGTGGACTTTCACGAAGGTGTCAAGGACATTTATGGGGGCGGATGTTAGAGAAAGAGAGAGATCGTGTCGAGCGAAACGATACGAAATGGGAATCAGACAAAAGGGTCTTTCTTCCCCCTCCTCGTCGAGCCGTGCCTCTCTGCCCCGATATCGTTTAGGGATTTTAATGGTCCGAAATTGGTCTTCGGCTCTCGAACGCTTTAATTATGTTACCCTCATTTGTTCCATTCAACTCTCCGCTGTGAATCGTGTCTTCCTCCTGGGAGGGAACACCGACGAGTGCCAAGTGAATTTGAGCGGTTTTCTCCACGCGCTTTTATATAAATAAAAGAGATCGACAAAATTTTACTCGTCGCAATTACGAATCCCAACGCTTTCCTCCCATTCATCATTTCTATCGCGAGTTTAACCTCGGCCTCTCTCTCCTCTCCTTTAATTGGCCGATGCTTCACGGCTATTGACCCTTTAAGGACGGCCAGCGTAATAACACGTAACATCTCTGATCGATCTCTGGCTTTCGAAATTTCAGAACGAGCAGCGGCCTTTTTTTCTTTCTTTTCAACGATCCCGATGATTCTTCGGCCCCTCCCCCCCCCCTCCTAATTAGAGGCCATCGCGGCATTTTTTCGGGATTAATGGAATATCCCGGAATGATCATTAACCAAGCTCACCATTTCGACACTTCCGTCCGTTACTTCGCGTCTCCTTCTCCTTTCCCTTCTTCTTTCGCTTTAAAATCGTAACTCGTAGATCCTTTTCTTCCTTCATTCATCCCGCTAATCTCTCTTACGAATTCTCTCGATCGTGATCGAAAAGGGAATGATCCACTCTCCTCCGAAATCACCCTTCCAAAACTCGTCCAACAGGGGTAATATATTTGATCCACAATTGCAAAAAAGACACACGTTCGTCCATCCATCTTCGATCAACGCTCTTCTCACGAATAAATACACGAATTCCTCGTGCCGTGGCAATCTCGTGTTTCCCTTCCTCGAGGCTAACTTCGTACTTGCTCTTTTACTTTTCGTAATCGGCTTATTTTTATTCGCAAAAAAAAAAAAAAAAAAGAAGAAGAAAGAAAGAAAGAGACATTAAGAACAATTACGCGCATGACTACGGCCGCTACGTGATTAGAGGCACTAATACTGCTTCTGGGGTCTGGCGAGAACCAGAATTGGCCGGCGTTTTCCTCCTTCTCGTGCGCGCGCGCAAGGAAGAAAAAAAAAAAAAAAAAACGGAAACAACGTTTTATCCAGCTCCGAACAATTATCCTCCCCGCGAGTTTCTTCCCTCGATATCGATCTCGAGAGCCTGTAAATCACGTATATACAACACGCCTTTGGCGGGGGGGGGGGGTCACGGCCTCAACCGGGAATTTATTAAATCGTCGAGCACAAGAGGATTTGCTAGGTGTAACAAGCTGAATTCGTGTCGCGCCAATTTTTTTTTTTTTTTTTTTTTTCCTATTCTTTTTTACGAATTTAACCACGACGGATTTGGAACGCGATGATACGATGATAAATTTCGAATCGTGTGTGACGTAACGATTTGAAATATCTTAAAAAAAAATTCCATCCTTTCGAATTGAAGTTCGAAGTTTTTACTTTCGACCACTCGCACCGATGCGACAAAATTGAAGATGAGAATTGCACTACGACGTATTTTAATAAAACTGGAGGAGGAGGAGGAGGAGGATCGTTCGATCTTCTTTCGAAACATTCGTCGTGAAACAGAGGAGAAAGGGGGTCGATATCGTGGCGTTCTTTCTTCTTTCGATCGAATGACGACGGCCGTTATCAGTCGCGGTTAACCTCACCTAATCGTCGCCCCCCCCTTCCCCTCCCCCCTCCCCCGTCAGCTGCTCGAACCGAACAATTAACGAACGCCAATTTTAGAAGGAGTAACGCCGTCTCAATTACAACCGCGGTTTCGAATCCTTTCTCTCGTTTTTCTTCCTTTTCTCTTTTCTAAGGATAATTTCCTTCACGATCTCGTTTCTCCTCTCTCCCTTTCTCGACGAGGAGGGCGATATTAAAAATAGGACAGTAGGTTTCATGTGTCCACTCTTCTCCACGAGTTTTGCATTGTCTAATTATAGTTTCTCCGTAAATTTTAAGATAACGCGTCTTATTAATTTCGATTTTTCACGATTCTTCTTTCAAAACGACGATTCGAAGAACACGACGTTCGATCGAAAAACGTTTCGTTTCTTCTCTCTTTCTTTCTTTCTTTCTCGACCAAGAGGACGATAATAGGTTGGATGTGTCTACTCCCCTCCACGAGTTTTGCACGTTTAACATCGTTCCATTCCCCGTAAATTTTACGGTAACGCGTTTTATTAATTTCGATTTTTCACGACGATTCGAAGAACCGATTCGAAGATATCCGAGCGTTAAAAAAACTCGCCGTCCAACTCTTTTTTTTGCAAGGAACGATAATTTTCTTGACAAAACGATCTCGTTTCTTCTCTCTCTTTTGATGAAGAGGATGATATTAAAAATAGGTTTGATGATGAAAAGGGAGGGGGGTATTGACGTCGAGTTATCTTCTACTCTTCTCCACGAGTTTTGCGTGTCTAATTCCGTTCTCCATAAATTTTAAGATAACGCGTCTCAATTTCGATTCTTCTTTCGAAACTTCGTCTTCGACTCGCTCGAACTTTGAAAATTTCCTCGACGACGAAAACTCGCCAACTCCAACTCTTCGTTTCTTCAAAATGTTCGTTCCCCTCTTTTCCAAGGAACGATAATTTCCTTGACCAAACGTCCCTT